AATAAATAAATAAAATCTTTAAAAAAAAAAAAAAGAAATTGGACACAAAATGACAGGAGTGACTCATTTAACAAAATTAAAGATATACAGTTACTATTTTATATTCATTCATCCAAAAATATTTACAAGAAATATTATTAAAATAACTGAATGTTTTTCTTTTTCCCATTACAACTTTTTAAAAAATTTTAGTTCCAGTATAGTTAACATACAGTGTTACATTAGCTTCAAATGCACAATATAGTGATTCAACAATTCTGTACTCAGTGCTCATCATGATAAGTGTGCTCTGCATCCCCTTCACCTATTTCCTGCATCCCCCCCACCCCCCTCCCCTCTGGTAACCATCAGTTTGTTCTCTATAGTTAGGTGTTTTTGGTTTGTGTGTGTATTGCTCTTTTTGGGGGGGGGGGTTCATTTGTTTTGGTTCTTAAATTCCACGTATGAGTGAAATCATATGGTACTTGTCTTTCTCTGACTGACTTATTTCACTTAGCATTATATCCTCTAGTTCCATCCATGTTGCTGCAAATGGCAAGATTTCATTCTTTTATATGGCTGAGTAATATTCCATTGTGTATATATACCACATCTTTTTTACCCATTTGTCTACTGATGAACACTTGGGGTGCTTCCATATCTTGGTTATCATAAATACTGCTGCAATAAACATGGGGGTGTGTATATCTTTTCAATTTAGTATTTTTGTTTTCTTTGGGTAAATACCCAGTAGTAGAATTATTGGATCATATGGTAATTCTGTCTTTAATTTTTTTAAAGATTTTATTTAATTATTTGACAGAGAGGGAGAGCACAAGCAGGGGGAGCAGCAGAGGGAGAGGGAGAAGCAGGCTCCCTGCTGAGCAGGGAGCTCAGTGCAGGGCTCGGTCCCAGGACCCTGGGACCATGACCTGAGCTGAAGGCAGACACTTAACTGACTGAGCCACCAAGGTGCCCTGTAACTCTGTCTTTAATCATTTGAGGAACCTCCATACTATTTTCCACAGTGGGTGCACCAGTTTGCATTCCTCTCCAACAGTGCAAGAGGGTTCCGCTTTCTCCACATCCTCACCAACACCTGTTGTTCCTTGTGTTTTTGATTTTAGCCATTCTGACAGGTGTGAGTTGATATCTCATTGTGGTTTTGATTTGCATTTACCTGATGATGAGTGATGTTGAGCATCTTTTCATGTGTCTGTTGGCCATCTGTATGTCTTCTTTGGAGAAGTATCTTCTACCCCTTTTTTTCTGTTTTGTTTGTTTTAGAGAGAGAGCACTCGAACTGGGGAGGAGGGGCAGAAAGAGAGAGAATCCCAAGCGGATTCTGTGCTGAGCTTGGAGCCTGACTCGGGACTTGATCTCATGACCCTGAGATCACGACCTGAGCTGAAATCAAGAGTTGGATGCTCAAATAACTGAGTCACCCAGGTGCCCCTATCCATTTTTTAATTGGATTATTTGGGTTTTTTTGGTGTTGAGTTGCATAAGTTCTTTGTTTTGGATACTAACACTTTATCGGATGTCATTTGCAAATATTTTCTCCCTTTGAGTAGGCTGTCTTTTAACTTTTTGTTAATTGTTTCCTTTGCTGTGCAGACAGCAGCTTTTTATTTTCATGTAGCCCCAATAGTTTCCTTTGCCTTAGGAGACATCTAGGAAAATGTTGTTGTGACTGATGTCAGAGAAATTACTGCTTTGCTCTCTTCTAGGATTTTTATGGTTTCAGGTCTCACATTTAGGTCTTTAATCCATTTTGAGTTTATTTTTGTGTATGGTGTAAGAAAGTGGTCCAGTTTAATTTTTACATGTAGCTGTCCAGTTTGCCCAACACCATTTGTTGAAGAGACGGTCCTCTCCCCATTGTGTATTTTTGCTTCCTTTGTTGTGGATTAATTGACCATATCTGGGCTCTCTATTCTGTTCAACTGCTCTATGTGTCTATTTTTGGGCCAGTACCATACTGTTTTGATTACTACAGCTTTGTAGTGTATCTTGAAATCTGGGATTATAATACCTCCAGCTTTGTTCTTTTTTCTCAAGATGGCTTTGGCTATTTGGGGTCTTCTGTGGTTCCATACAAATTGTAAGATTATTTGTTCTAGTTCTGTGAAAAATGTTGTTGGTATTTTGGTAGGGATTGCATTAAATCTGTAGATTGCTTGGGGTAGTATGGACATTTTAACAATATCTGTTTTCCAAATCCATGAGAATGGAATATCTTTCCATCTGTTTATGTCATCTTCCATTTCTTTCATCGATGTTTTATAGTTTTCAGAGTACAGTTCTTTCACCTCTTTGGTTAAGTTTTTTTCTAGGTATTTTATTATTTTGAGTGCAATTATATATGGGCCAGCTTTCTTAATTTCTCTGCTTCTTCGTTATTAGTGTATAGAAATGCAACAGACTTCTGCACATTGATTTTGTATCCTGTGAACTCACTGAGTTCATTTGTCAGTTCTAGTAGTTTTTTGGTGGAGTCTTTAGGGTTTTCTACATGTAGTACCATGTCATCTGCCAATATTGAAAGTTTAACTTCTTTCTTACCAATTTGGATGCCTTTTATTTTTCTTGTCTGATTGCTGTGGCTAGGACCTCCAGTACTATGTTGAATAAAAGTGGTGAGAGTGGACGTCTTTGTCTTGTTCCTGATCTTAGGGGAAAAGCTCTTGGTTTTTCACCATCATGATGTTAGCTGGGGGTTTTTCGTATATGGCCTTTATTATGTTGCAGTATGTTCCCTCTAAACCTACTTTGTTGAGGGTTTTTATCATAAATGGATGTTGTACTTTGTGAAATGCTTTTTCTGCATCTATTGAAATGATTGTATGATTTTTATCCTTTCTCTTATTGATGTGGTGGATCACATTGATTGATTTGTAAATATTGAACCACTCTTGCATCCCAGGCATAAATCCCACTTGATCATGGTAAATGATTTTTTTAAATGCACTGTTGGATTTGGTTTGCTAATATTTTGTTGAGGATTTTTGCATCTATGTTCATCAGAGATATTGGGCCGTAGTTCTCTTTTTTTTGCGGTATCTTTATCTGGTTTTGGTATCAGGGCAATGCTGGCCTCATGGAATGAATTTGGAAGCTTTCCTTCCTCTTCTATTTTTTGAAATAGTTTGAGAAGAAGAGGTATTAACTCTTCTTTAAATGTTTGGTAGAATTCACCTGTGGAGCTGTCTGATCCTGGATTTCTGTTTCTTGAGAGATTTTTGATTACTGATTCAATTTCATCACTGGTAATCAGTTTGTTCAAATGGTTGTCTGAGGTTTCTGTTGAGGCTAGATTCTTAGCCAACAAGACTCCAGCCTCAGTAAAGATTTGTGTGTCCTGGCCATGCATAGAAGTTGAAGAGATGAGTGAGTGACTTTACACGCAACATGGGTACATAGAATATCCATGGCCCCCATGATGAAGTAAAAATGTGCTGCCCTCTCTTAATATCTGTGCTGCTTTTAGCCCTTCAGAAGCGCAGGCCACCCTAGGGAGGGGCACCCTCCCTCAATCCTGCATGAGCAAATAGCTGAGATTGAATCCCATCCCATCCCCCTGCTACATGAAGGATGCAGCTTTAGATTCAGATATAATTTGATTTAGAGAAAGCAACGTGCCTTACCTTGTATGCCTGTGTTCATGGAAGAAGAGTTGCATCTGCTACAAATATCCACGGCCAATGCGACCTTGACAAACTGGTATGCATGCTTTAGTCTAGATTATTCAGCATCCCCACCCTCCAGTATGCCCCAGCAAGGGTTCCCCTCATACTGAGAAAGTTCAGGGCATAGGTGCCTGCATCAGGGCCTGGCTGGGCCTGAGCATCCCTCTTGACAGAGCTGTGTTGTGTTATAGGGCCATTGCTGGCCAGGCTCTTTGGAGGCATATTTGCAAAAATGTGTATTAAAAAAAAAAATCACTGTTTTGATGGCACATGCTGTTACCCACCCCCAAGCTACCATGTTATATAACGTATTTCTCAGTATATAAATTCAGTCATGGAGGTAATTATGAATGCTGTGCCGAGGCGTATTTCAATTCTCCAACAGGATGTCAACTATACGTAGCACAGCTCAGTGTCACGGTCCCCAAACCATGCTACAAACACAACGATGTAAATATGTGGATTGGATTTGTATCAATGCAAATATGCTGCAATCAGCATAAACTAGAATCAATGCGTTCGTCAGCACTAAACAAGCATGGGCAAGAGGGAAAGAATGGTGAGAAAATTCAACTACAGCCCAATGTATATTTTATCTATAGTCATATTGTAGGATGTATTTTAAATAAGATGCTCTGCTTAAGTGGGACAAGTAAATAAAAAGATATTGAATATAACGTCCGACACCAGACCCCAGGCTTTCTATTACTGCCTATTATCAAAAAACGGGATTTTCCTTATGTTCATGAATCATTATCTTTCACAAGCCAAGTGTAAATGGAATCCCAATTTATGGATCTACTAATTGCTCTTCCTCTTGAAACCATTAGTTGGTACTCAGGGTTTCATGTATCTCCTTCTAGCTTCCACCCTACCTCTTCTCTTCCCACCCCAACCAAGCTTTACACAAGGGTCCACAGTGGCTGCCTCCCAGGCTCTGCTCCCTTCCCTCCTCATCTCTCTATAGGCTGGCCTTCCCCTCCCCTCCAAAGAAACAACCCCTGCAAGGGGCACCAGCCACCTCCTGATGGTCAAACTTGATAGACTCTTTGTCATTTTTATCCTACTCATTCTTTCTGAGCGTTTCATCTCATTGACCAGCTTCCTCTTAGATGTTGTTCCCTTTTCCTTTATTAAACCCACTATACAGTAAAGGATTGATCCAGGAGGTCTGGGTTGTCCAAACCCTGAACATTCTAAAGAAACGTTTGGCTCTTGACTGGTTCCTGGGAGATAACCTCTAAGTCCTTGGAATATCTTGCCTCTTAAGAGTGTCTTTGCCCATGCCAGATAATCGATGCTAACAATGTGATCTATAGCGGGGGCCCTGAGTCACAAAGAAACAGTCTGACCTCTGGAGAGTCTGGAGACTGAGTAACTAAGGTCAGCTATGCAGGCAGTCATGTGGGCAGACTGAACCCAACAAAAGCCCAGAACACCAAGGCCTGGGTGAGCTTCGAGGGTGGGCAACATTTTGTGAGTGTTGTCACACATCATTGCTGAGAGAATGAAGAGCTGTACCTATGATTCTACTGGCGGAGGAATACCACAAGCTTGTGCCCACTCTCTCCTGGACGCTGCCTTATGCACCTTTTCCCTCTGCTGACCTTATTCACCACCCTTTCACTGTAATAAACTATATTCATGAATAGAACAGCTTCTCTGAATTCTCTGAGTCCTTCTAGGGAACCACAGAACCTGAATGGTCTTGAGACCCCAGACAACAGCCACAATCTCAGTTTAATTTAAAAAACATTAAAAAAAATGACCTCCTAGGGCGCCTGGGTGGCTCAGTCGGTGAAGCATCTGCCTTCAGCTCAGGTCATGGTCTTGGGGTCCTGGGACAGAGCCCTGCGTCGGGCTCCCTGCTCAGCGGGGAGTCTGTGTCTGCCTCTCCCTCTGCCTCTATCCCCTACTCGAGCGCTCGTGCTCTCTCTCTGATAAATAAATAAAACCTTTTAAAAAAATGGCCTTCTAGCTTCCATTCATTGTGATAAGCGCTGGGCACAGAATGACTGAGCAAGACATTCTTGTACATATTAAGGATTTTACAGTCTGGTGTGAGAGGCTGCTGGGGAGGAGCCTGACACGCAGATAGATCGTTTCTATAGCACGTGATGCGCGTGCACTTGGCAACACCAGTGGTGCCGATCCATTGCCTTGCCTCTTTGGCTCCAGAATATAACCTCTTTAGCTGTAGGGAAAAAGTTGTAATTACTCATGTTTGTGGCCCCAGTGCCTAGGTCCTTGAGTGTTTTGTTTTATTTGCTGAATCACTGAAAAAGAATGTCAGGATCTCATTTAACACTGGCTTTCCACTTACACTTTTGGTAGTGCCGATCCCTTGATGCAACTGAATTTTCCCAGTCTTCCACCTCTCATCCTCACTTCTGGTCTCCTCCCAGGCCAGGGCATCGTTACTGTTTTTCACAAACACTCGAAGCTTCCCTATTTTGTCTCCGGCCAGCCGGTAATCAAAGAGCAAACAGAAATTGCTTTGGGGTTGCAGGTCAGGGAGGAGGAGTTTCAACCGGCCGATGTCCTTCTTACGGCCCACCAGGGCCGGAACTGCCATGTAGTAGCCAACAGCTGCAAAAGAAGAAAAACGCCCAGTTAATGAAGCCATTGTATAGGGTCTGGCTATAGTATCTAAATAGGATAGAAAATGAATGATAACTGGAATTAAAAATTTTTAAAAACCATTAAAAAAAAAAAAGAACATGAATGCCAGTCTCCTATAGGGAAAGCTGAAGTCCTCTCCATTTCCAACACAGGAACAAAATTTACATGCTAAAATGGCTTTTAGGGATCACAAAGATGAAATCCTTTATGGTACAGAAAAGGAAACTGAGGGTCAGAGAAACTGAGGAATTTGTCCACATTCACAAAGCGTGGTGGTAGCAGAAATGCGGTAAGAATCTAATGAAATAGTCTTTTAGCACTGCAGGTAATTTGCAGCTGTTGGGGAACTTGCGTTCCAGAACTTTCCACCTTGGTTGTTGGAATGCATTTTCCCACAGAATCAATGATATGTATGATGGCCAGCTCATTAGGTAGTGTGGCATTTAATCCACAACATACCTGAATTTGTCCTAGCAGTTTCATGGAGCTCAACCACCACTTGCAATGTATCACTCTGAGTTCCAATTTAGGATGACAGGGACACGTCTCTTTCTAAGATCCATCTCCTGAGTATCTTTTAACCAGCAGTAGTGGACATTGCTCATCACCAATCCTCTGGTTGTGGCTTTGATAAACCTGGGCAAAAATTCTCTTAGAATGGGGTCTCATAGAGTGGGGTCTGAATGAAAAGAAGGAATTCCTGTGGAAGCCGGGAGGATTACACTGGGGTCAGGGAGTGGGGACTGGAGTCTTCTGCTGGTACCTTCCTGGAGACACCTGCATGAGCCAGGTTGACATTGCCTTAGTTTTCACTGGACTCAGAGACTGTCTGGTCTTCTTCCCCAGCTGGTAAAGTTGCAGATCCAGCAACTAAAGATACAGGATGCTCAGGAGAGTTTGCATTTCAGATAAGGAGCATGTCTGAGATACACTAAAAAATATTCACTGCTTATCTGAAATGTAGGCATCCTACATTTATCTAGCCACTCTACCAGTGACACCCTCTCTTCTGTGACCCACTGTGGCCAATTTCTCCTTCTCTCTCAGCTAAAGCCCATTTTGATCTGTCCTTGAGATTTTATCCTTCTCAAAATGCTGATTCATCCTGTGTTTCTTTCTTATATTTAACTCTGTAGGGAAAGACAAGCTCACCTAGAGGTCTGAAGGGGGTTCAGGAGGGAAGAAAGTACGCTTTGAGGGACACAAAAGCTGAAAACCCTGGGGCCATTTGCGAATCGTGTTTGTAAACCGGGGACTTCATTGTTGGAAAACCCAGCTTAAGACACTGCTGACCATGTGAACTGTCAAGATCCTGGAATAACTTACAGGCTCCCCATGTGATACAGCTCTGGCAGACGTAAACTTGCAGATGCCACGATGCAAGGAAGGAGAAACTCAAGTGAGCTATCGACAAGACAGGCTCTCCGAAGATGTACTGTCTCCAGACTGATTAAACTTGCCCCGTGCTTGCCCTGAATCTTTGACGATAGTCCCACTCACGCAACTTGCCGCGTTGCATGTATCCCCGCCACCCTAATCTCAAGGAATTTTTGTTAGGGGATATCCATCCAGGTTTCCTGGTTGCATGTGAAGGCCTGAAAGGAAAGATCTAAGGGAGGAATTAATCTAGAGGAAGGATGCAGAAGGATCTGGTAACTGAGGGCTAAACTTGTAGGTCCCCAAGTTAATAAATGGACTGGTAAGGAACCTGAGTCCCCAAAGTTGTCTCTAACTACACAGTCAGCCTCAGGAGACAGGGATTTGGTTTATGCTCCAAATGGGAGCTGCCAGCCAAATGCTCCACCCAAGGGAAAAGATAGGGCCCATCAGTAGTGTTTAACCAAGAAGTGGAAAGGGCTGGAATGCCACAGCTCAGAGCTGAAGTTGAGAAAAATCCAAGTTTAAGTGGCCAGAAAGAAATCTGCAAGCAATAGAGGGGAAAGTTCGGGTTGCTGACCTGATGGCTCCTTATGGTGTTGATACTTTGAGGGGTGACTTTGCTAAAACTTCAGGTATAGGTAGAGGTCATATTTCCTTTTCAGATTTACTTTTCCCACAAAAAGCAAAACAGAAGCTACAGAGCACCATTAGCCGGCAAACTGGGGAAAAGGAACAATTTCTTTCTACCTTTCCCCCAATACTCTTAAACGCACATGAATTCTGGGGCACCTGGCTGGCTCAGTTGGTAGAGCATGCAACTCTGGATCTTGGGGTCATGAGTTTGAGCCCTACGTTGGGCATGGAGATCACCTTAAAAAAAGTTTTCCTTTAAAAATCTTAAAAAAAAAAAATGTACATGAATTCCAACATCTCTCTCTCAGCAGCAGGAATGACTATGGGAGTTTTGCTGGAACGTCCTGGGTGTGGGTGGGTGGGGGTAGGAGGGATAAGGCGGAGCATACATGCTGAACCAACTTAGCCATTCGTCAGGGGAGATTTCAGGAAGGTCTAAAAGTTTCCAAACATGACAAACAACCCTGACCTAACAAGTGAGAAGAATAATAACCCCACATCACTGGAGAGCCTTCTTTATGTGTGTCATACCACAGAACACAAAAGATAAAATCTAAATACCATTATCTCGGTCAGCAGGATTCCAGTCAAAGTCATCCTCTATATCCTGTTTCCAGTCACAGACCCCATGGTCAAAGCTGCAGTCAACTGAGATATTTAAATCTGCTAAGAAAAAGGGTACATTTCATAATCATTAAGAGTATTAGAAACACGCCTAACATTTGGAGCTTTGGAAGGCCACGTCATGTTTTCAGTTGCTGTTGAGCACTGAGCTAAGCTACTCCATGGTGTTGCTGCCTCGGCAACCATTTTGTTTGGCCAAACAGCCTACAGGAGCCTAAAACTGACCTTCATCCCTCATGCAAGTGCCAGCCATAGATCTAGAGCAGCCTGCCGAGTCACAAGGAAATGTAAGTTCTTGATATGACTTCCCAACAGCTCTTGTGATCAACAGTCCCCCCTGTCTCCCAGGGCCATCCTTTTAGGGGACCCTAAGGATGCACTCCTTAGATAAGACTCCCTTGGAGCTCAACAACATCCTGACCTTTCTGGTTTGAGTTGACCAATCCAGCTTCAGCCCGGGGAACCCCAAAGTACTCCGCATAGGAACACTAATAAGGCCATGTGCCCCAGGTCCTGTCTCTCTCTCTTTAAGCACCCTGCCTCGACTTCCCCGTGTGGCCCTTGATGTGTGCCATGATCTTCCAGGACCTGTGAGTAATAAACTTCTCCATTTCAATTTCCCTTGTGGTCTTTTGTTGAACCATCTGGCACTGGGGGGCTCTACTTAACAAATATTAATTTAACAAAGTCAGAACAACTGCGTGGAGTACAGATCATGGCAAATGAAATGGCCTTAAGGACAGTGTCAAACCAGATACTCTGTTTCAATTTAAACCTGTGAAGTCCTTCTGGACAAATTCTGTTATGACCTTAAAACAATGACTTCCTGTATCCGTGTTCTTCACAATATAACTTCGTAGCACCATCCCCAGCACTTAAGTCCGGCCTGGCCTCGTAACTTTCCTTGGACAATAGAATACAGAAGTGAGCTGAGCCAGTCCTGAGCCTAGACCTCAAAAGGCCTGTGTGCTTCCACTTGATTCCTTGGAACCCTGCCACTGCTTCATGAAAACAAGCTTGGCTGGCCTGCTGGAGGATGAGACACCACCTGGAGTAGAGCTGAGTCAGCCCTGTTGTCTCAGTTGAGGCCTCAGGTACGTGAGAGAGCACAGCTAAGATCAGCCAAGTCACTGAGTCGGCCCACGGCTGACTACAGACACATGGGTAAGCCCCACTCAGACCAGCCCAGATCAGCAGAACTACCCAGCTGATCCACAGACTCATAAACAAAAATAAATATTTATTGCTGTAGGCCATGGAGGGTGTGCGGTTGTTTATTACGCAGCACTATTGTGGCAATGGGTAATGGACACTGGAACTTGGGTCCAGAATTTAGTACATGGTAATTTTCATGTTGTGGGCCCTCACGTGTTGCAGTCGAAGCAATTGTGTCATTTTCTCCCATCTTCAAATATATACTATCTGCCTTGACCCATCACTCCAGGTGTCAGGCAGGAGTAATGGAGAGAAGACAGCCTTCCTATATTGTTACCATGGGTATTAATCATGTAAAGGCTTACTTTCATACTGACACTGTGGGTCAAGATGTTCGGGTTCTTCCCTTGGGTGTTTAGGAATGAAGCAGTGATTCATAAACAATCATCTCATCGTACGAAGACATTAAAATGATATGGGACATTATCGAAGAGCATACACTTGAGAGAAAGTATTATTTACCTTTGTGTTCAAATCTGGATGTTACAGGTTTTCCGTGGACCAGACCCAGACCCAATTCACCTGCTTCATTCACCTTAGGGGCTAATAAAGAACACTTGATCAGTTAAGAAAAACCCTGAACCTTCACATGCTAAGAAGGAAATGAATGAATGACTGAACAAAGAGTTTTATCATGTATTCTAATTATAGAATATGTTAGAGCAGAGTTTCCTTAACATTCCCAAACCATTCACGTTGGTTCCACTTTCCTCGTCTAGAACATTGTTTTCCAAAGATGTCCCAAGCATCTACACTAGTAACAGGTCGCTTCTCATCAGGCTTTGGAAATATACTGTCTTGAGATTTTCACTCTCTATTAGAGGAGACAATGTCATTGATATGGTAGTTCTTGGATAGGTGGGCATGGGTGTACTTTTCATTTGGTTAAATCTAACAGCCATGGAACCAAGGACAGACAAGGCCAAAAACAGAGGCAGCAACAAATGCCTAGCAAGAAAGAAATACAAAGTCTCAGCGTGGGGATGTGGGGGGATTAATAAGGAAACTGCCCTGGAGGGGCTGAGACTTATGGTGGGGTTCCACAGAGCGACCAGTGAGAAGGGCAGTCATCTAGTACATGGAGAAAACTTAAGCTCTTCTATAGAATGTTCCTCCCTACAACTGTCATTTGGGCTTTTTAAATTGTAGCCACAGAACTGTGAAATCCCCCTTGCAGTGAGTGGGCCTGTCAAAAGTGCCTTTAGGAAGTAAATACGCAGCGGTTGGCAGATCCACCTGGATCCGGGGGCTCTCTGGTTTGGGGGTGCGCTGTGTGGGCAGCCAGACAACTATGCTTGTAGGGCAAGCAAGTGTGCTTGGTGGGGAGCAGAAAGAGGGTCTGCATCAAATAGGAACAGCCCCCCCGGGGGCGAAGGGGAAAGTTCTTATCCTCCTTGTTTCCTACAGCAGCAAATTTGATTTGGGATCTGCAGATGTTGATTTCCACACCTTACAGACAACCCTACTTCTTAAGGATCAGCACCGAACCTAATTTTGCTTCAGGCATGAAGCTGTCTTCTTTCACTTGCCAGGAGAAGTCACAATTCATTTTTCATAAAATGTGTAAACTAACAAAAGTTTTACTCACAGAACACATCTCCTCGAAGGCTTTGCTCCCATTCCACGTGGTTTTTCAGGGCTTTCTCATTTTTTTTCTCTTCCTCAAGCCCCTCTTTCTTTCTCTCTTCATTCTGTTTCTTTCCTCCATTAGAGTTCCTAGCTCTGGAAACAGTCTCTTCAGAGTTGAGGGGCCGCAAGTTAACCTTAGGGGCAGGAGTTCCAGAAGGTTCTGTGATGACATTTTTAATTTTTACCTTCTTTTTCATGCTGTTTTTGTGAGCCAGCAACTTCTTGATTCTGTCTTTGATGACACCACGTGCTCTGAGGACTTCCTTCACAGAATTTTCAGGGATAACTAAAATAAACAATAAAGGTGGGACATTTCACATTGGCCATTAATTAGGTCACTCATGAAAAATGGAGCATTTAAAGTGCAGTAACAAATGCTTCCAGAATCAACCCACTCGAGGCTCTACCACCCGATATTTTAATTGTTTTTGAAGTAGGCTCCACGCCCAACATGGGGCTTGAACTCACGACCCTAAGATCAAGAGCCACATGTTTTACCAACTGAGCCAGCCAAACTCCCCACTACCACTTGATATTTTAGGAAGAACTGTATTTGCATCCATTTAAAGCAGTTCCAATGTTATGGTAGTATCTTAGCTACCTTTCATTAGAGGACACACTTCTGTCTTGCGTCAGAAATTACTACAATGAAATAAATAGCTGCTCCTCCCAAGGTGGGCTACAGACCCCACAGTGATGGATTTTCCAGGGTCCTCTACTCTTTCTGCATTCATACCGGTGTTCTTCAAAGCTGGTGTTGTCCGGGCAACCTACTGATTTGTCCAAATTTGACATTCTAAGATTACAACCATAGCGATAGGTTGAACCATATAAATTGCCAATAATGGGTCACTTATAACCTACAAAAATGGTGATTTATGGTTCAATGTATACAATTTTTCTTCCCTGTTCTCTCTCCCTTTTGAATGTCTTCACCTCAATCAACTACTATCTAAAACTAAATGATTTTACTTATTGAATATTTAGAGAGGCTTCTGTATTTACTATCTTATACTCATTTTTTATTGCTCACCACTAAATTAAATTGCTTTTAGAAATGCACTTCTAAAAAATATAAAATAGGGCGCCTGGGTGGCTCAGTCGGTTAAGCATCTGCCTTCGGCTCAGGTCATGAACCGGGGGTCCTCGGATTGAGCCCTGTGTCGGGCCCTCTGCTCAGCGGGGAGTCTGCTTCTCCCTCTCCCTTGGCCCCTCCCCACTGCTCGTGTTCTCTCACTCTCTCTCAAATAAATAAAATCTTCTAATAAAAAAAAATATACATATATATATATAATAAAATAACACACTTCCGGGTTGATTCCTCTTACCCCCCATGGACCAATGTCCCTGAGGTGGGGGCAGAATATGTTTGTGTGGAAGAACGCAAGAGGTAGAAGAATGGTCATTTAGCCCAACACCTGTGTTTTGTAGATGAGACAACTGGGTAATGTTGAGTCACTTGCCTAAAGTCACTCAGCTACCAGGGGCAAAGTTAGAATTTGAGGGTCAAGAAGATGAATGACTCCTTTTCCAGTCCTATTTCCATGGCAGGTTTATTCCTGCTTTAGGGTTAAGGGTTACTTTTCTACAGACTGGTTCAAATTCCTTGAGATCTAGAGTCCAAAGATACATGCCCTTTTTCCAGGGATCTACTCATGATAATTAAGAATATCCAACTGATATAAAAAAAAGTAATTTTTATTTTATTTTTTTAAAA